CCGCGTATTATGCATACGCGCACGCGCCCAATCTCCTTACTTGGCTCGACCGCATAATGGACCACGGCCCAGGCGAATGCGCTCGCAGGTGCCGACGACAACGGCGCGGCGACCCACGTAAGTCGAAGCGCCGTGTATGAAATATCAATGGAATAGCGGAATAAAAGACGTCCGAGACGCGCCTTCCTCTTTTATCTTCACTGGAAAAGTTCAACGAATTGCCCCATCGACTTTTCCATTGTTGCGCCAGATACTTGTGTCGATGGATGGCTTCCAGAGCGATTGGGAGTTTTCTTCGACGCGAGTTTTTCACGTCAGCCGATGCGGCGTCTCTCGCTACTTATCCTTAACTTCGCTCTTTCTTAGTTCGATCGCTGCCCCAGTTCGGCCATTTGCCTCGGCCACGCTATCGGTCCACTATTGTTGCCTACCTAGCCCCGGCTTGGATAACGCTTATCTCAAGATGGTAAATAAGCTTCGGATGCTGCTAATCGCATGAATGATGATTGCAAATCAATTGTTACGAATTGCAGATAGAAGGATTTGATTAGCATATTTGATGCCCAAGAGGACTTTTTGCAAACATAGTTTTTAGCGATGCGAGGAGATTGAGGATTAGCTAGAGAATGTTAATTCGATGAAATGGAGAAAGATAATTACGGATGAGTTTCTTATTAATTCGGCGAGCCTGAATTTTGCCGTTTGTGTCGAGTCCTCATGCTGGAAAGCTGCCGAAAAAGCCGTCGCCCGTTTGATAAGCGCGATAATGAAAATCAATGTAAGCGTGTGTAGCGGTAAATCAATCGGGCCTCCTTAAAAATGCTTAACTTTTATTCTACAAACTGAGTCGCTGAGTCCGCAACTTCTAAACTGACCGAACAAAGCCTCGTCGAGCCAGGCATCTCTCTGATTTACGAGTGCCTTAGTAAAGGAAAGCACGCCAAGTATAAGTGTTTAACACGTGATTAAAGTTTGTTGGGCAAGTCCGATATATTCCAATAAACGGGTGGCGCATTTCATCGCTTTCCCATCATGCGGCGGCGGCCAAGTGCGCGAGCGTCGGTAGGCATCCGATGATGAAAGTCGGTGCGAGAGATAGAGAGGTGAGTCGATGGGCGCCAAGGAAAACCCGGGCCACGACGAACTTGGTCCATCCGCGGCCCCTGATGTTATAGTGCTCGGCATAACAGTAGTTCGATTGCCCCTCCCACTCACGCTCACCCAACCCTCTTCGACCGATAAAACTTATCGAACATAATCTGCTCTCTGTCGACGGGTTACGCTTTGAGGCACATATACGCGCGCGCGCCCGCGCGATTCTTCTCGCCCCTCTCCTCTCGTACACTCGCTCGCCACCGGTCGAACGCAAATGTTTCGAAGTACAAACTACGCAGTTATAATGCTCGAGAGCGTCGAGTGTCGCCGCTGGTGGACGTATTGGTAGTGGTAGTAGTAGCGGTGGTGGTGGTGGCGGAGGTAGTGGTAGTGGTAGTGGTAGTGGTAGTGGTAGTGGTAGTGGTAGTGGTAGTGTCGGTGACGGCGATGGTGGTGGCGGTGGCGATCTTGATGGTGGAGGTGGTAGTGGTGGTGACGGTGGCAGCGTCGGCGGCGGCAGCAGCGGCGGCGTCGGCGGCGGCAACAGCAACGGTGGTGGTGGTGGTGGTGATGGTGTTAGTGGTGGTGGTGCAACGCACTGACGGTAGTCGCTGCAGCCAGTGTATCGCTTTCTAGCCACCAGATGCACTGAGCGCGCGCGCGCCTGTTCTTTTTAGCAGAAGGATGAGGAGGACGATGAGGCGTCGGAGGGCCGAGGGGCAGTAGAGTAGTATTATTATTAGTAGTAGTAGTAGTAGTAGTAGTAGTAGTAGTAGTAGTAGTAGTAGTAGTAGTAGTAGTAGTAGTAGTAGTAGTAGTAGTAGTAGTAGTAGTAGTAGTAGTAGTAGTAGTAGTAGTAGTAGTAGTAGTAGTAGTAGTAGTAGTAGTAGTAGTAGTAGTAGTAGTAGTAGTAGTAGTAGTAGTAGTAGTAGTAGTAGTAGTAGTAGTAGTAGTAGTAGTAGTAGTAGTAGTAGTAGTGGTAGTAGTAGTAGTAGTAGTAACAGTAATAGTAGGATTAGTAAGCGGTAGTAGCAGTAGTAGTAGTAGTGGTAGTAGTAGTAGTAGTAGTAACAGTAATAGTAGGATTAGTAAGCGGTAGTAGCAGTAGTAGCAGTAGTAATTGTAGAAACAGCAGTTGTAGTAGTAGTAGCAGTAGCAGTGTCAGTAGTGTCGGGGAGGAGGTTGCGAAGGAGAAGGAGGAGGTGGACGTGAACCTCGGCGACGCTGAAAGTGTATTTTATTATGCATTTTCCGTCTCTTTCTACGGCGCGAGCTCCCCCACCCTTGCGCTTTGTTTTGGCTTGCTTTTTTCTTCCTCTCTGTTTTAGTTTTTACCTTTCCATCTTCCTCCGCTTTGTACTTCACTCGATGAAGCGAGGAGAAAATGGAAACGGGATTGGAGCTTCCTTTTTCTGTTATTCTGGTTTAGTTAACTTTAATGCGACGCTTTGATGCATGCACGTACTGTAATGTGAATTTCTTTTTCTGTTTTATTTTTTTGCGAACGCCTCGCTCTTTTGGAGGCGAATTTTTATGCTTTATCACGAGGTTGATGAAAAGTGAGAAGTATTTCGTCAGCGAAATTAACATCTTTGTTCGCGACTTTTTAAAATCTTGCTTATAGTTGCGATACGTTTGTAGGCGCTCTGTTTAGTTTGTTTTTATAGGTAAATTTCGTTCTGGAGGTTTTTATTTTAAATAAAAACATTATGGATAATCCGAGTTCTATATTTATAGCTTTTGTTTTATATCGTCTTACTTCGTATCATGTAATAGGAGAACCTGGATTTTCAAACAAGATCAACAACGTTAATCGCATCAATGCTCATAAAATTTATTCTTTAATTATATAAGCGCCTAATGAATATAGTCTTATATTTCATATATTAAAAATCTTTATAGGGGAGAATTCTTAAGTATTGTTATTAATTATGGCAAAAAGTTAAAGATGGCGACAAATGATATCCAAACGAATCAACGTAATTCGTATAACTTTTCGAGTACGTTGAATTTTTCCGAAATGAGCCAATGTCCTAGGATACGAAATTTGTTTATTAATATTTCGCAATTTATTTACACTCCGCGCTTACAGACCTAAAAAATTTTCGTTACGATTAGTCATCGATAAGCACTGAGATTTTATCATTCGTTCTACGGCAACGTTAATTTATTCGAATTAGCAAACGCCAAATCTCTTTTCAACAATTAAAAAGGACATTATACTATGTCGAGATAAAGTATTCGCAAGAGTAATTTCAAAATTTAATCACGAGCGCTTAAGTATTTTTGTGCAAAAATCAACGTTATAAAATTACATCTTCTGACCAAAGTAGTTGTAATCAGCGACTCCTTTGAATAATTCGAAATATTACTAAACATCATTCGGATTCTATAATCTAAAAATTATGACTTCACTCGTGATAAAGGATTAAACGGCATCTCGCTTATGCTCGTCATTACGAAGAATCGACTGTCATTCTCATCTAAGCTACATTCGATAATAAAATATCGAGAATAAACAGTCCCGAGAGGATGTGCAACGCTTATCAGATAACACTTATGCAATAAATTTTTTACAAGTGTTATCGTCCAGCCGCAGATAGTTTGCGGTCACGGAATCGTCGACTCGATACACTAATATAAGACAGAAAATGAGAATAATTGTGTCAGCAATGTAGTCGGCTGACCGTCTTTCCG